TATTGCTCAGAAAAGTTCTTTGTTGTGGTTGTGTGGCAGCTTAGCCTAATTAAAATCCTAAATAAGACTGTAAAATAAGTCAGTAAAAAACTGTAAAAAAACCAAAAGATGAAGCAGCATCAGATATGAACTTGTAAAGCTCTTAAATCTGAGCACGGACAATATATAGCCAGGGAAAGCCTATTTTAAAAGCCATGGAATAAAAGCAGGACAATCTAATGAAGCCTGTAATAAAAATTCAAAGGAGAGGATATATAGAAGCAAGAATAAAAATGTATTTGTCTGGTGGCTAAACACTTGTAACTCTGACACAGTAAAGCTTCTGTAAAGGAGGAGCTTGATCTTGGGTGTATCCACTGAGGAGGCCCTGTCTCTAGTGTTCACCCACCTAGCCTGTGAAAGAACACAGCCTCGGACGAACTTCTCCCACAGTGGACTGGCATGTACAGGATGCAAGGCTGGGTGGGACCATGTCTCCAGGATCACTAAGACTTCCCTTACAGGTTCCTGACTGTGAAGAGTTTCACAGGTAAGTACCATCATAGTGAATTGTGCCCAGAAGTGAAGCAGCAGCCACTGTAAAGTTTTTGAAACTGACAAGATAAGCTCTCCTTAACTTACACCTGCTAGCATCCTACTGGGCAAGACCCTGGGACTGATCACCACCCTGACAGCTGTTTTCAGTTGGAATCCAGAATTGCCCATCCAGCTGCACTGGGAGTGGGACCCCTTGCACGGCATTCTCCACCTACCCAATCTGCAGGACAAAAGTCACTTCCCCCAGTGGTTCATATTTACTAGGGATGGGCTAGAATAGGGAAAGTTGTCACTGGTCAGACGCAGTCCCTATTTGGCTCTTGAAAAAAACTTTTGCAGATAGTTTAAAATTATTTATTAGCACGGACTACAAGTTCGCATTCCAGACTCTTTGTGCCAGGTCTATAGATTTTTAATCTCTGAGTGTGTGGACACAGCTGGTCTTTACTATTTATGCATGTGAATGAGAGTACATGACCTTCCCTCTTTGAATCCCGGTAAACTGAAGGGCAAATGATTTTGAACCAAAAGAACAAACACTTTTAAATGTTTCTGACAGTGTAATCCATGGCAGAGCTACACCCTTCTAAACCCACAGACTTCAATGGACTGAGGAGGGTATCACTCCATTTAGGATTGCACCATAAATCAACCCAAGAGAGCCCATATTGCAAGGTAAGTGATCACTCATGTGGAAAATAGGAATGTTCGACAAGAATGTTCCCATTTCCCATCTGTGAAATTTTGGAGGAAATGAACCTTCCTGATGCATCTTGAGCTAGAGAGACTAATGACTCAGCACAGAAATTCTATTTTCTCAGTGTCTGTTTCAGTGAAATCAGAGCCGGAAAAGATCCAGAAAAGGGGCAACCCAAATGACCAATAGGGTGGAGTACTTTACCTGTAGAAAAAGTGAAATAATTTGGGGCTTTTTAGTTCAGGAAAAAATGACTAAGAGGGGACATGATAGTGGCTTATAGATAGATTCAGGTGAGTAGACGTGTTGGTCTGAAGTAACAGAACAAAGTTTGTGTCTAGTGGCACCTTTAAAACCAACAAAGGTTAATTCTGGGTACAAGCTTTCGTGTGCATGCACACTTCTTCAGATACTTTCTTCATGGATTCAAAGAAGTCTACATGCACTCGAAAGCTTATACCCAGAATTAACCTTTGTTGGTCTTAACGGTGCCACTGGACTCAAACTTTGCTCAGTGGCATATAGAGGAGGGGGTAGTGGCTGCATCTGGAGAGTGTGGACAGACACTGCACCTGCAGCCACCTTGCAGTTCCCTCTCTGAAGCAGTTCAAAGAAGTGCTGTTTTTGATCCAGTTCAAAGGGCTGTGCTCAGAATGGTGTTCCCTTTAAAAACAGGGGCTTCCTGCTCTCCATGAGGGGAAAGCTCCCCATATGGAAGCACTCTTAGATGACTTTAAAAGGGGAATAGACTAGACTAGACAGAGCCAGTTTGGTGTAGTGGTTGTGTGGAATCTAACCTGGGAGAACCGGGTTTGATTCCTCACTCCTCCACTTGCAGCTGCTGGTTGACCTTGGGCAAGCCGTAGTTCTGTCAGAGCTGTTCTTGAAAAGAGCAGTTTCTGTCAGCACCCACCTACCTCACAGGGTGTCTGTTGTGGGGAGGGGAAGGGACAGGAGTCTGTAAGCCGCCATGAGACTCTGAGTGACAGGCGGGGTATAAATCCAATCTCCTCCTCCTTGTATGGAAGCTAGGTCTAGTGAAGGCTATTAGCCATGATGGCTGGATGAGTCCGGTTGTTGGTGGAAAGTGCTGCCAGGTCGCAGCCTGCCTTATGGCAACCTGAAAGGGTTTTCATGGCAAGGGATGTTCTGAGGTGGTTTGCCATTGCCTGCCTCTCTGTACCCCTGACTTCCTTGCTGGTCTCCCATCCAAATACGAAATAGGGCTGAGCCTGCTTGGCTTCTGACATCTGACAAGATCGGGCTGGTCTGGGCCATCCAAGTCAGGCAGAAATACAGGTTGCCGGCGGGGGGGGGGGGGAGGATAGCAGAAGAGGGCCGTGGCCTTCGTGCTCTGCTTGTGGGCTTCTCGGAGGCATCTGCCTGGCCACTGTGGACCTTTGTTCTGGTCCTGGAGGGCTTCTGCTTGGGCTCTGTCGCACGACTCTGGCTTTTTGTTATGAGCCCTGCCTCTCCTCCCCATCAGACCCCACCCAGCCACGGAACCCTTCATGCTATACCTAATTACACAGCGTTGAGAGGATCAACAATTACCTGCAGTGGCAAACCCACAAACCCTTGGGCAGGATCGGTGTAAGAACTGGTTCCTCCCACTTGTTTGCCTGCCAGTTTTCTTCTGTTTTGCTCTTCCCTTCAGAAAGTGCCTGGTTGGAACTTGGGAGCCCACCCGTTGCCCCCAGTAAAAACAAAATCAGGGCTGAACACCATTGCTTTGTCTTGTGGGGCTCTAGTGGAAAGGTGAGAGGGTACAGACACTGCTTAAACCACCCCACCCACCATGCCATTTCCCCAAACTGAAATGGCACTGGGAGCAGCTATTTGACCCACTGGACAAACTTGCGTGTTCCAACGGTTACATGTAAGTTTCCGCAATGGGGCAAATCCGTGGCTCAGGTCAGGAAAACTCTATGTGTGTGTGTGTGTGTGTTAGTTAAACTTACTCTCCTCAGGCACCTGGTCTTGATCTGAACCAGATCCCCCTGCCCCCAAAGAAGCTTACAATATCATTCTCTCCTTTTCCACTCTATCCACATAACCACCACCCTATGAGGTAGGTTAGACTGAGAGAGCTTAATGAGCCCAAGGTCACTCCCAGACTTTTTTTTTGAGGAAGAAGAAGAGGAGGAGGAGGAGGAGGAGGAGGAGGAGGAGGAGATTGGATTTATACCCTCCCTTCACTTGGAGTCTCAGAGTGGCTTACAATCTCCTTTCCCTTCCCTTCCCCACAACAGACACCCTGTGAGGTAGGTGGGGCTGAGAGAGCTCTTTCAAGAACTGTCCTTGAGAGAACAGCTCTGAGAGAACATGTGACTGACACCAGCAGCTGCATGTGGAAGAGTAGTGGGGAATCAAACTCGGTTTTCCTAGATTAGAGTCTGCACTCCTAACCACTACAACCAAACTGGCTCTCCAAGGCAGTGGACTCTGATAAGACCCAGGTAAAAAAGCCTTCAGCCTAAGGATAACCACCCCCTTCAAAGAACAAACACTTTCCTGAATGCTCACTACCTCACATGGTTCCCATTGAGGTACAGGAGAAAAATAACGGGTGGGGGGCATTCCAAGCTGGTTAAGGCCACGTCCTCCTGGGGCCATGAAAACTCATCCTTGCCATGGCAGCAGCACTAAGTGGCATGGGAATGGCAGTCAACCCCCCTCCCCTGGTCCTGTTCCTGAGCACCTCACAGCTGCTGCAGTGCAGCCCCACCCATGCGCCTCTCCCTTTCCCCCACTGACCCGTGCAAAAATGCAGACACCACAGCAACTTTGCCACATCCACCCCTGGCCTGAACCCCCCTAGGGGTGCCAGGTCCCCCTGGCCACCGGTGGGGAATGGGAGGGGGGGAGGGTCATCAGATGCAAGTTGGGAAACTCCTGGAGATTTGGGGATGGAGCCTGGGGAGGGCAGAGACCTCAGTGGGGTACAATGCCATAGAGTCCACTGTCTGAGACGTCCATTTTCTCCAGGGGAACTGATCTCTGCAGTCTGGAGATGAGCTGTAATTCCGGGAAATTCCCAGGTCTTACCTGGAGGCTGGCATCCCCACCTGCCCCCTTTCCCCTCACTGTCTCTGCTGAGCTGTGATGCAACACTACAGCGTGCCTCAGCAGGGAAAGGAGGAAAAAGCCTTTTGAAGGGCTAAAAGGTGGTGGATGGGGAAGAAACCCAGAGCTCAGGTCTGTCCCTCCTCCCCATGGAACGTCCAGATGTACGGCTTGGTTGCTGTGCCGTAGGGGAACTCATGGTTAAGAGGCAGTCTCCTGATAGCTGAGGACCTCTTTGGTGTTTTTTTTCCCAATGAGATACCCACTAGAGCTTGGAGAAGGTGAATGGAGGGGCGGAGAGTCAGCAGAAACAGAAAGCTGGCAGTTTTAAAGAGACAGGGAGGAGACAAAGGCAGAGAGAGAGAAGAAGCCGAGCGTTTCTAACTGGAATTAGCCGGAACTGCTGCGTGGGGACAGTCTTGGGGTAAACTGCCCTAATTGCTCTCCAGGGTATTCTTTGCTTGCACTAGGAATGGCTCTTTGTCTTCCCTTATACCCTGTGGGCACATTTGTAAATATTATAAAGACATTAGAATTCTTGAGCACTCTCTCATCCCGAGGAAACTGAACTCAGTCATAAAACCTGGAGTTTTTTGCTGCCTAGGGAGGTGAGGGAAAACACGCCAACACTTGATGTATAGCTAGTGAAGCCTATTCCCTCCCACAACCTGAAGCACCCACCCCTTTAGCAGGGTCTTACCCGCACTCCTCTGGCAGGAAGGTCCTGGCGATGTCCTGGCGGCACCCAGTCTCCAGAGTAGGCCTTTGGTCACCGGCTTCCAACCCCAGCAATGGCAGTTTTGGTGCTGAGTCAGGGAGGCACAGA